CGCCGCCACTCTGTCTGCTGGCGAGGGAGGGACTGTCCACCCCCCATGAACTTGTTGCAGGAAAAGATTATCTGAGTTCTGGAGAACCTCTCCTATGAGGACAGGCTGGGGGAGTTGGGGGGGTTCAGCCTGGAGAAGAGAAGGCCAAAAAGGGGAGAGCTCAGAGCCCCTTCCAGTGCCTAAAGGGGCTCCAGGAGAGCTGGGGAGGGACTTTTTCCAAGGGCATGGAGTGATGGGACGAGGGGGAATGGCTTCAGACGGGCAGAGGGCAGATTGGGATGAGATGTGAAGAAGAACTGTCTCCCTGTGCGGGCGGTGAGCCCCTGGGGCAGGTTGCCCCGAGAAGCTGTGGCTGCCCCATCCCTGGAGGTGTTCAAGGCCAGGTTGGACGGGGCTTGGAGCAACCTGGGCTGGGGGGAGGTGGCCCTGCCCAGGGCAGGGGGTGGCACTGGGTGGTCTTCAAAGTCCCTTCCAACCCAAACCCTTCTGTGATTCTATGATTCTGTGCTCTCGCATGGCACAACAGCTATTTGGGGTATACAGCGCGTGGCACCTGCTACGCCATTTCCCTTTAATCCACAACTCATTCACAAGAGAGGAAAATGTGGCGACTTAGCTCTGGACCGGCAGTACATCACGGCAGACAGCCCGTGGCTCGGACAAACAAAGCTCTGAGATAGACCAACCCAGAACTCCCGCACCGAACCACAGCACTTCACTCAAACGAAGGAAATCAGGTGTTCTTTCTTCTGCGCCTGGATAAATAGGGATAGGATTAAACAGTGGAAACCAACACGTTTAACTGCAATAATCAATGCTGCTAACACAGAAGAAACCCTCATTTTGCAAGAAAAACGGCACACCGTTACTTGCGTTAAAGCCAAAACCTCTCCCTTGGTTTCACCCAACCATGGCTAAGAGTAGTTTTTCTGGAGGAAAACGTATCATCAAGCTACTAAAAATATCAGGGAATTTACCAGAATAGCTTAGTAAATGCCTTTTTAAAAAGGTATGCGATTCCTTCCCAGTGGCCCATTTTACTCAAATAAGCCACAAAAAAAATTGTATAAAAAGATTTATTGAAATTCATCAATGACAAACAGACATAAAACTCAAAGTTTGGCTCTTCTGGGAAAAAAAAAAACAACCAAAAAAAAAAACTGTTGCAAATGTATTTATACAGATGAAATATTGACTAGGAAATACAAGTCACTTCTAAAGCTATTTTAAAGAGGGATATGAAAGTAAAACTGTACATTCACTAGGTATTTTCAGTCATTTTACTGACTTCCACTAGGTAAGAAAATACAATTTTGCATTAGTATCTCGTGCTTGAGTGTATGAAAAGAAACCTCCTACCCTACATGCTGAACTGCCTCCTGTATTTAGGTTTGTAAAAATTTTCAAAGTATATAGCACAAGTGGAAGTAGTTTCTCATCACTTAAAATTGACTAGGTGTTATATATTACAGACCAAAATAGTACACACCTTATTTAAAAGGGTTGAAACATTTTTTTTATTACAATTGTCAAATTCATTTCACTAGTAACTCAGGAATTAGGAACACTTTTTATATATATTTATATATATATTTAAATGCCTGTGATTTTCAGTGTATTGGCTATACCCTAGCCAAAAAAAACCCCAAAACAAACAGAAAGGAAAACACACAACACACAGGGTGGGGAAGGGGAGGCGGCGGGGGGGGGATTGCAAATTCACCTCACAAACCAGATCCAAAGAAACACCCCAGAAAAAAAAAAAAAAAACAAAACCCACCAACAAAAACATTTGGTCACTATTTACAAACAGCAAAATAAAAGGTACCTACAAAAGCAGGGACAGCATCGGCTGAAAATGGCAGTCATTCACGGACAGGCAACAAAGAAATCACTTTATCAATATGCCATTCTCACACCTGTTGCTGTGGAGGGACGCTTTGCCTGGATTTGCAGCATCCCCCAAAAAAATGCTTCCGATGTATTTAGTGACTGGCAGCGGTGGAAAAATCCCAACGACCAACGCTGTTCAGCTGTCTCAGAACAGAGTATCCGTATTTGGGGTATCATCCACTGATCTTCAACTTTTTTGTCCTTTTTTTTTTTTTTTTTAAAAAGATGTCAAACTATCCACTCCAATAATAAGAAACAAATTACCACTTGGTTTATACTTACTATTGCAGTTACAGGGACTAAGAGAGGGACAAAAAGAAAAAATTTAAAATGAATAGGAGGAGTGGCAGTAAAAATAGTATTTTATTCCCTTGCCCACCCAGTCTGCTTCTCCCTCTCATTCCCACAGCAACATTACAATCAGGAAAAAAAAAAAAAAGAAAAAAAAAAAGAAAAAAAAAAAAGGTTGGGGGTGTGGGGAGGGGAAATACAGGGTAAAAACAGTCAAATCACAATAGGAAATTTTCAAAATAGGTTATTCAGTTTAGTCGTCTTCATCCCCTTCGTCTTCAGGTTCTCGTTTTCTCTTCTGTCCCCGTTCTTCGTCTAGAAAATAAAACACAGCTTGAATTATACGTGCACTCCCTCGTGCTGCTGCAAAGCTGAACAAGTTCAACAAGCTTCTACTTTGGCAACTGGCTTGCTATCAAAGGAGCAGGAACACAAACATGTGCCTACTTTTTAGAAAACGGTATTTTAAATAAAAAAAAAAAAAAAAAAGAAGCATTGTTTTATCTCTAGCAGAAATTGGATTGCTGCCATACCGGGCTCTTCTTCATCTTCATCGTCATCTACCTCACCATCGTTGTACCCTTCTTCATCCTCCTAGATTTAAGAAGAGGAAAAAAAAAAAAAAAAGAAGGATTAAAACCAGTCGGGTTTAGTGCAGGACCTTTCACAATTTGGCAATATCCAACAGCGTTTTACAACAGAGAGAAAGTCCTTGAAGCATCTTAAACAAAAACCAAACAAAAAGGCAGACACTTCCCACGCACTTATATAAAAAGTGCAGTTTTTTGCTACAGTATAACTGGACTCTGGCCCAAATTTCATTGCAGAAAATCACACGCAATCTGAGCAGCCACTTCTAGCTTCAAGTCTTTGGCGAGAAAATGGTTTTATACTTCCCATTGACGTATAACTGCAAATTTTGTTATGATGTCCCGAGTTTAGTAAAACTTGATGATGGGTCAGTAGGAAGCACATGTTCTAGGGGCAGAGAGAGTTAAAACACGACCAGACATCTCCAGAGCCTGAGGAGCTGCTGCTGGTTTTGCGAAGAGGCTGACCAACCATCCAGGAGTGGCAGCTGAACATCTACAATTGCTCGGCCGGTGGACAGATAATACGACCTCCTACAGTCAAATTTTAGCCCCGTGCCAGTGGTTCTGCTAACAGCAAAGCCTCAGCAGACTGCAAGTGGCTCAGCACACTCAACACACAGGAGCTGGACTGCACCAACAATTTAAGCATCCTGAAGAATCACCAGGTAAACGCCCAGGGAGGAACCTTGCTCTGAGAGCCCAGGGTCAGTAATTCACGTCCCATTCTCTCGTCTGTACAGAGGCTGTAACCCCAGCAACTTCAAAGGCACCACAAACGAGGTCTGCAGACATTCCTGACGGTATTTTTGACAGCAGCCCAATAAACAGAATTATTTCACGTCAATGGTCACTAGATGGCAGCGGGCTCATAGACAGGCATGCCTCAAAGCCACCCCCCACTGCGATGCTTCTCAAGTAGAAAAGAAAGCACAGGCTTCAAGTACTAAAAGCCTCCACTATTTGGTGCATTTCTTACCCAACTATTCCCAGTTAGAGAATGCTCGCTCCACACCCATTATTAGCTGCATAAATCCTTACCTCCTCTTCTCCGCTCACATCCTCCTCTTCTCCTTCCTCCTCTTCCTCCTCGTCTTCTTCGTCTTCTACTACCTGAGCGTCATCATCATACTCCTCTTCTACACAGTCAAACAAGATTAACCGCTCAGACATTTAAAGTTTACTTTTTTCCAACACTGCCACCTGAGACGTGACCTCCTACCCACACAAGGAGCAAACTGAAAGCACTGCTTAAGGGCAGTACAGAATTAAAGGCAGCTCTCCAGCCGCCAGACAGGGCGAGACGCAGCACTGGGCCTCTTCAGCCTAGTGACAGGGGACTGCGGCAGCTGCACCCATCGTCTGAGCTGCTCTAGAGCCACAGGGCCCTGACAGTAAGTCACGGCAGCCTCGAGACTGCTTTAGCATCAGCTGCTCCAGTTCCCACTACTAATATGCATTTTTCAGCCCGTGGGACGCTTGCAGCTCTTCATCTGCAAGTGTCCATCTGCTCCCACCAGGGCTAGAGCAGAACTTTACAAGCCAACCATGCACTTGCCTTTACGCCGCCAGAGCAACGCAAAAGGGTCACACGCGATCCACCTTGTAAGTTTGCAATCTCTTTTCAAGAGAATCAAGAGATTAAACGCAACTAGCCCAAGCAACAAACCAGAAATTGTTTTCCGCGCTGCAGGAATGGTGTTAGGGAGCTTGCTCGTGCGTTTGAATGCCGGCGCAGACTTGAGCTCTGATGAGAAGAACCCGTCCCTGAAAAGCACCGCTCTGCCAGGCACTGCTGCAGCGCTCGCCCCTCTCGCCAGGGCTCACATTCAGCACTCGAGGGAAAAGTGCAAGTCCAGCTATTCTGCTTCTGCTGCGCAGCTGGGTTTGAAGAGTCTAGCAAATTCCCCAAACTCAGCCGGATACTCATCCGACCAGTACACTGATGCCTCTGAGTGCAGGCTGCCGGGGAGGCAGAACGGCTCCTACGGCACAGTGGGACCCAACGTGCATTTTCCTAACGTTAAAGTGTTGCTTGCTGCTTCATTAGTGCCTTTCACAGAGCTTGCCCCAGGCAGACTTCAATACACACGCTCTCCTCTCTTCTGCCTGATACCAACTAGTTCACTTTGTCCTCACGGAGTAGCTACAACCTCCTGTTAATGCCTTGGCTCCTCTACTTAATTCCTTGACCCAGCTACTTTTTCCTACGCCCAATCTGGTTCTCCACCCTACCTTTCTCCATCAGGGTCTACACAACTGCTCATACTTCCCGGATCGTACTGTTCCTGGAAAACCACAGCGTGTGCATGCCACCCTTTCTTACCCATTTCTCCCTTATGTCCTCATCCCCTGGGGTATACTGTTCCCTGAACTCTTTCAGCATCTTACTCCTCCCGCTGGCCCCTTCCTTCTACCACCCTTTCCCTCCCCACCTTTGACTATAGATACAGCTGAGAAAGTAGCTCTTTCAGGTCCTATCCATCTCCTTTCCCCTCGTTCCTTCAAAGGACACTGAGATACTTCTGCTTTACACCAGTCAGAAGGAGGTGGCGAGGACACCCGTCTCCTGCCAACAACTCAGAGCCGGAAGCAAAACCTACCACGCAGCACATCGATCTTACAACTTACGTACACCAAGTAGCACAAATTCACGTACCATCTTCATCTTCCTCCTCGTCGTCTAAGCCCTCCACGTAGCCCTCCGCATCAGAGTCCGGTGCTTCTTTGTCATCCCGATCTTTCACTAGAGATAAGACTGAGAAAGTAGCTCTTTCAGGCCCTGCCCATCTCCTTTCCCCTCGTTCCTTCAGAGGACACTGAGGTACTTCTCCTTTACATCAGTCAGGAAGGAGCTGCTGAGAACACCCTTCTCTTGCCAACAAGTCAGAGCTGGAAGCAAAATGTACTAGGCAGCATACTGATCTTTTAACTTACGTATACTAAGTAGCACAATTCACATACCATCTTCATCTTCCTCCTCGTCGTCTAAGCCCTCCACGTAGCCCTCTGCATCAGAGTCCGGTGCTTCTTTGTCATCCCGATCGTAGCCATCGAGGTATGTGAGTTGCGGGAGGAGCTTGAATACGTTTTCTCTGTAATCGTTCAAGTTGGTTACCTCGCAATTGAAAAGATCTAGACTCTTCAGGTTTTCTAACTTTTTCTGCAAAGAAAGAAAAGTTCAGTGTTAGAATAATTCTCTGCAGAGCAGAGAATGCATCGGCAGCCAGATTTAATGTGCTCGAGAGCTTCCCATGACAACAGGGTCATTTTGGTCTCTGCCTACTAATTTGGTGCAGAACAGAAATCTGCAATGCCTGGCTGTTGCCGCTTTGGTATCCGAGAGTGGAAAATGTTCTCTCTCAAGTTCAGCATCTCGCAAGTAGAAGACTGGAGACTGGAAACAGGTAATGGTGCAAAAACCAAACATGCTGCAAGGGACCAAGCTAACAAGAAATATGAGTCAAATCGGTTATCCCAAAAGCACAAGGGAAGATACTGGAGCCAGCAGTCAGGTATATTTAAACTACTACTTTCAGGTATATTTAAACGACTACTTTCAATGGAAGAAGAAACACGAATTTTGCTAAGACAGATTTGAAAAATTTTAATGACTGGTCCTCAGCCTTTAGAAAAATGAAAAAAAAAAAAAAAGGCTTATAAACTGAACAGAAATTCAATTCCTTCCTGTTTTTAAGTTGTTTTTTTTTTGGAGGAGGCGGAGGTGGTCTGCATTGCCCACAGCATTTCCAAGTACCAACAATTAAAGCACAAGCGGTTGAGGATTTGTATCAAGTCTTATGAAATACCTCTCTTCTGGAGTTTAGCGCGTAGACCAACAGTGACATGGAGAAAACAATAAGCCCGAAACTGGCAGCAGTTAGAATGCTCTCTCTCATCTGTTTGCTACATGAGTTTAACTGCTTTGCTCTCCCCTTCTCCTGGGGGAAAGGAGATCCACGATGGACTCATGCGAGAACTGCTCCTCCAAACATTTTAAGGGTGCGTATTTAGGAAATAAGCATAAACCAAAACTCTTCATTTCCAGAGAGAAAAGGGCAGACAAACCAAAAACTAGAAAACAGCACTACCAGAACGAACACTTGGATACTTTTTGGAACCGCAACCTGATAAACTTGAACTCAGCTCTTCAAATGAGAAGTGTAACGCCCGTGAACAGGAGAGGTAATGGGAACCAGCAGGAACAACCTGGAAACTCAGCAACCTCTGCCCAGCTGCAGCGAACAAACCCAGTATGGAGGCACACTGTGCCGCAACTGGTCACCACCAGCACACGCCGTGCCCCTGGGCAGAAGCGGCGGCTGGTGATTTTAGACCCAAGGCTTCGGGGAAAAGGCACCGAGCTCGAGCAGAGCGTGCGGGAGACAGACCCGCAGCCCACGCCACCCTGGAGAGCCGTGGTGCTCCCCGGAGCAGCAGCCGCTAGAGGGAAGCAGCCGCTCACGCTGCGGGCACAGCCCCGGGGCAGAGCTGCCAGACAGCCCGGGGCCGGGCTGAGCCCCACAGCAACCTGGCCCCAGAGATAAGCGCCCACCACACTCCGCTGTAAGTCCCTTTGGACTTTCCAAGCCCATAATGCCTCTACTCATCACAAAACGGGGTTTGATTTCACCCCGTAGCGCATCAACTTACCAGAGGTTCTATTGTACCGAGATCTTTTATTTTGTTGCCGCTTAGATTTAGATGCGTGAGGTTCGGACACTTTTCTGCCAACACTTCCAGTCCTCCTGAGATTCTGTTGTCGCTTAGCTCGAGCTAGAAGGCACATAAACATCTTGAGTTTTTAGTGCAAACACGTATCACAAAGCAGTCTGGTCAGCTACATTACGTTTTTATACAAACAACTATTTTCCATTCGGAATAGCGCAAAGAGGGAGGGATACGGCATAGGACATTTTATTTACCTTCTTAAGTTTGTTTAACTTTGGTAAGTTTGCAACTGAGGTTAAGCCTACGTTGATTGTACTTAAGAATTCCAGCTCTTCAAACTCATCTGTGAGGCCTTCGATTTTGCCTTCGTATGACCTACAGTTGTCAAGAACGAGTTCTTTAACCTGGAAAGAGAACAATGCAAAATGCAGGTAAGACATTCTGCATGGAGGAAAAAACATTTCGCTCACAAGCAAAGGACGGCACAGATCAGGCAAAAAATTAAAGGTATTCCAGTAAACTGGGAAGTATGCGAAAGGTTATTTTCACTGCGTTTCAGAAACACAGACATTTGGCTTTACTTCAACTGCCCACCTTTGTGTTGTTCTATAAACAACGTAAACAGTTCAAAAACATGAATCCTGGCTTAACCGATTTGGCCGTTAGAAGCAGCATCGTCTTTAGTAAACGCAAGCAATAAGCACTCTAAAAAAAATACGAAACCCACCTATTTATTTTTAAACTACCCTACAGCTTCGACACTCTGTACAACTCGTGTGCTAATACAACGTATCATCAGTTGTTAAAATAGCTTCTCTCTGCATGCAAAAAATTATTTCAGTTTTTCAAGCGTGGAGAGATCACTGTCTGCTCAGACACCCCTGAAACCTAAAGTAGGCACTGGCGATCCTACACCGGGTCTTGCTGGAGCCCACCCTCACCCCTCCTCATTACGGCAGCTTGATGTTAACTTTAGGGGAAGACCTTCTCCACCCAAGCCATGCCCTTCTTGGGGAATTCCAAGGGATGTGTCAGAGGATGCTGGCGGGGGAGGTTCCGTGAGCACAGCTGCTCTCGCAGCAGCGTACCCCTTATCTCCCTCGCCCTGTTGCAGGAGGGCAGGCTCCAAGGGAGAGGTGAAGATAATGTCCCCACGGGCCCCAGCAGCACAGGACCTGCCTGATGGCCAAAGCCGGGCAGCCCCACCGGTGCGTACAGAAAGTCACGGGCTGCAGGGCTTTGTTGGGTTTTTGTTTGGTAGGTTTGTTTTTTGGGGTTTGTTTTTATTTTTTTTTTTGAAATACAGCCCCGCTCTTCGCGGGTGCTATCTTCACCGGACACAAACAACAGCATCAACGCAAAAGAGCGCCTAAATACGCCCCACCCTGAATAAAACTGCTCCTTTTCACCCCAAGGCCAAGCCAGCCTTACGGGATTCAAGTCCCTTAGTAACCACCGTGAGTTTTCCTGGGCTCTGGGGAAGCTCTGCCCCCGCGGACTGTGACTCCGCAGGAAGAGCCCACCCGTTCGGAGAACAGCCAGACCTTTTCACGCTGAGAGAAAATTCCTGGGGCTTATTTCTCCCTTATAAAACACCCAGGAAACTTCATCCTTCTGCACGCACTGCAGACCCCCCGTCCTGCGCTCGAGGTTGGCTGTACCTTACGGGTTTGGAAAGGGAGGGGGGAGCCGCTTTATGCCGAGGATGGGATAAAAGAAGTCTGCAAGAGCGGTGTGTGCAGAAACATGAAGCAACTCTTCCGTTCACGCCAAGGACAGTTAATATGCAAATATTTAATTTTCTTAATTTTTTTTTTTTATTACTGTAGTCCCGCTGCACAGAGAAGAATCCTACACAGTTTTAGAGCTCCAAACAACATCCCTAGATTTCTAATTAAATCCCAAGCACTGAAGTCAATAGGGAAGTCAGCCCAAAGCAACACGAGAGTACAAGTGATTCATTGAGAGTAGGAGGATCAGCGTTAGACAGGAAACACATTTTCCAAGACTCTACAATTTTCCTAGAAGAATTATGATAGGGAACGACTACACAAAAGTCTTCCAGAAGAATTTCAGGCTGGTTAGAAGAAACCAAAGATCAAGTCAAACGCTCCTGATCCCACATACTTTCCCACTGGGGAAAAAAAAACCCATAACCAAAACCCCCAAAACAAACTACAAAAAAACCCCTCTTTGCTTTGAAATTCGGGACAGCAGGAAAGCCATTCTAAAGGCAAACACGCGTTATCTTCTTTCTGTAACAGCATTTAAGTATCAAGATCCTCCAGTGAGATCAATTTGGGGACAAACACACGGTTTTCTTCATCTGCTTCACACACACACAGAGTTCCCGCCAAAAAAAAAAAAAAAAAAAAAAAAAGGGGGGGGGGAAAAAAGTAAAGTGAAAGAAGCTGCACCCCAAACGCAGAGTGTGCAGCAGCTACATTGCCCCTATCTGTGTCCTGGCTCACCAGCACAGGAGGCCCCTGCCTGCCCCGTTATCTCCCTTGGCCAGCGAGGTGGCTCATCTGAGCACCCACCTACGGACACGTTTCGGAGCCAGGAGGGCAGAGGAGCGCGGCTGCATCGTGCCGCGGGAGTAGAGGTTCTCCAAAGAAAGGGGCTGATCTCCAGAGTGGGAAACCAGTGCTTGTGCAGAGCCCAAAGGCTTTTTTTTTTTTTTTTTTTTGCAGAGGAAGTTCGCAAGAGCACACATAGGAAGGTGAATCAAGGCGGGAGTTCAGGGAGGGAAAACGCTCGCAACCGCAGCAGCCAGCACAGTTTAGAGTCAGCTCTGGCTCAGGGTGGAGAAGAGGCAAACAGGGAATTGGACAAAGCTTCCTCAGAGGTGGAGAGAAGATTTGAGGTGAAGCTGGAAATAGCCATGGATGCAGATGAAAAACCCTTTAAGATGGTGGCAGAGGAGCCACCTGGCTTCTACTTTTAGTCTGCTCTTTTTAGCTCAAGACTGCTGTTTCCTCTCTACCTTTCAGAAAAGTCCGTTTGATACAGAACTTCAACACTCCCTCCGTTGCTCTCCCCAGTACCAAGATCCTGGGCAAAGGTACAGTCAAAACAACTCCATGGGGAAGCTATCATGGAATAACACCGGCAGGTTTGCAAGTGGTAGAAAGCTTGGTCGAGCCGAAGAGCTCGTTTAGGAAACAGCAGAGCGCAGGCTCCTGACACTCCAGAAACGCAACCACAGCAACGTAGTTCTGGTGCTTACGCGGTCAGAGGTATATTAACACACTGAATGGCTTCCAAAAGAACGTGACCCCCCCAAAATAAAATCCAAGTCGCGATTAAAATGGCTTTACGTTCGAAGAGATTTAATAACCCCATGGCAAACACACGTGTGCAAAAGGCGGGTGAACTCGGCTCATGGGGATTCTCCCAACTTCACTGCTGCCTTGTACCCAATTCTCTTGCACACGGTACAAGCCGTAGAAACTACCTCCAGCTTATACAGTTTTTACAAGCATTAAAATTGCCCGCAGCTCTTTGCCCACAGCCTCTCAGCCTGCGGTCTTGAGCATCCCGCTCTCCTCCCCCTTCCATTCTCATTTGCCGCCTCCTCCTTAAGAACTTGCTGTTTTGCAGTTAACGGCGAGGCAGCGCCGTGCCTCCCGGGAGAGGGCATCGCTCTCTAAGGCCCTCCCCGGGTTATTAACGGGGCCCTTGGGTTATTAACGGGGCACTTTTCCAAGGCGCTGGCTGCTGCACAGAGGTCTCCTCTCAAACCTTAGCCCCCTTGTGAGGATGCTGGGCCTCATCCAGGCACACTACAGCCTTGACACTTGGTGAGCACGTAACTGTGTCAGTATACAGAGAGGCAAAAGTGACCTTAGTAAAGCTACGCTCCATCTGAAACAGCTCACTACCACAAAACTATGACAGAAGGACTAAAAACCTACTGCTTGTTTGTTTTTCAGAAGTCTTTGTAATCTTAAGGAAAATTCCAGCTCCTGAATCACTCTCCAAACATCCACTGAACTTCCCTGAAAATGCGCAGTGAGACTACAATTTTTACATCTCTTTCCTCATAGCCTGTCACCAAAACACAGAATAAACTTTCGCTTGATGTAAGCAGCCTGGGCGAGCACCCTTTCCGAGTCTTGTTATATACCTGAACAAGATGAGTGGGCCTCAGCTGGTCTGAATCAATTTAAAGTTGTAGCACACCGCAGTCTCCGTAACATCGCAGCCGCGTAGCTGAGCAGGCAGACTTAGGGAGGACAATCGGAACTTGTTTGGAGAGACAGGCTAAGGGAGTAAGCGTCCTCAGCTAATTTAGCTGCATCAAAGATGGGAAGATTCAACTTGAAGAAGTTGTGTAAGGGCAACCTTATCACTGCCTACGCCACAATGCATAAGCAAATTGAAGCACTAATTGGAGTAAATACTAATACAAGTAAGTACTAGTACAAGACAGACCACGTGAGCTGTACCTATCTTTCCTCCCTCTCCCAAAAAACAGCCGTGAGAAACAGTGGAAGAGCAACATGCCATAGGTAACCAACAACCACAAATAACACCGCAATACTTACCTAAACAGCTAAGAAGGCACCCGCAGGTGAATGTCTAGCAGAAAACTTAACAAGCAGGTGGCTAGGTTGGTTCCCGTAGTACATAACCACGTCTTCGATACCATTTACGATAAGGCACCATCAGGTGCTCGGGTAGGGATATTACGCATCGTACAGCTTCCACTGCCAAGCGTTTCTCGCCCAGCCTGCCATTCTGCCTTGTCCTCTGCGTTCCCGGGGTGGCTCGGGGCTCTGCTGCCCCTCTCCCCCATTCCGCGGGTGCCATCTGCTCGAGCAGGTGCTTCCTGGTTGCCCGTGTACTGCTGCTGGAGCGTTGCTCTGTGGTTTGCTGGTATCAGTCCTCGGTTTTCAGGAGTCACGCTGAAGCAAGTAGATTGTTGCTTCTCCAACAAACTCTTCAGGCCACGCACCTCGGACCTGTTCTGCTGTGGTCATCCCAGTTTCTATTTCTGATAGTCCCAGACGCTTTCAGCGCATGACATCACATCTCTGTTAACGCACACTGCACTGTTAACTGCGGATTACAGCATCCCCTGTATCTCTTCACCACTTTCATGACATCACACCCTACATTACTGCCTGCTCGATAACCAGGGACTCTTTTATCTGTTTCCTAGTATGGTTACAGCATTAAGCTGTGTTCCCAAATGCATACACGACATCCTTAATATAGCCAGGGGGTCTACTGCGAGACTCCAACCTATTCCTAGAGCAAGTACAGGCAACCATGCGTAAGCAGCCGCTGGATTTCCAGGGAGTCATCACAAGGGACATCCGAGACTCACTTGCTGTGCACGGTACCCGGCAGACCTTCCCCTGCCTCTCTGGAAGGGACCATACTCTTGAGTTATCACCACATACACAATCAATAGAATATGATTATACACAGACAACTACTAAGGCACACATGCTGCCACCTCAGCCTTTCATCTACATTTCCATTGTAACAGGGAAAAAGGCAAAGTCTCTACTTCAGAAAGCTCACAACCCACGGGCAGGGAGATCCATGAACTCGGGACTAAGTTCCCGAATCCCAGTCTGTAACTGAAGGCTTAACAGGGTGACAGAAGGACACAGTCGTGAGTATAATTTTAAAAGATAAAAGGCAAATTTACAAGTACAAATACCGTTCTGCTGGCTTTACAAGCAGGAACAGCAAAGGCTGTAACATCTCATTTTCAGCACAATGGACCAGATGCTTTTGAAGTGGACGTTGCACGTGGTACCCCTGGGACTGGAATATCCCGCTATGTGGCATTTTTATCGAAAAAAGCAGATAAAGATGACAGGTCAACTCTGTCTTGCACTGCCCCCAGCCAAATGATCCAGGTGAGCATTGAGAGAAGTCCTTCACACCTCTTAACCCAATGGAAACCTCATTTGGAGGAGGGTAGAGGTGCGGAAAGAAGGGAGGGGAGAATAAGGGAAGCCCACTGCGGTAAGTAGAAGCTTTTGAAAGTGGAGACAGTTTTATTCTCTCCCAGACGCGCAAACATTTTTTCAAGACACTTGGGTTTCTGTCTTTGGGAGTTTTTCGTTTCAAAAGCCTGCATAGTCCATGCAAAGCCTTGCATCACCCCACAGTAAAGAACGAGCACCACCATCTACAGTAACCAAATTGCCAAGAGTTGTGTTCTCCTAGTTCTTGTACTGTATTCTAGATCTGTACTCATGCAGATTTGGGGATCCTTGAGCAGAAATGGTTTCTATTCCACTCAATTTGTGCAGCAAAGTTTAAGGGAAGCCAGCCCTCCACAGTCACGATGTTCTCATTTGTTGGGGAAGGCGTGGGTTGGACAAGGCTCAAGGTAACACCTGAGCCTTGCAGGAGCCCATCGTTCATGCTTAGCTGCACAGTGATGGTAAGGATATGACGTTCTCCACACTCGCATTACAAGATTCCCCCAAAGTTACTTCTGGAGGAGATAAAAGTTGCATGAATTTCCATTTCAGCTACTATCTGGAATGCGACTAGGCCAAAAAAAAAAGCTTGAATGAACAGCCTACTTCCTACCCTGGGCTAGCAAAGCTGCTCTGAAGGCTCAAAGACACGCTGCAACTTCTGCTCCGAGATGGTCACCAAAATGTAACCAACCTGAAGAAGTGATTGTTTTTTAAAAAACAATGAAGACAGCACCACATGCCATTTGCCACCTACATTCAAGACAGACCTTCAGCCACGGTCAGGCCCCCTGCGACACAAACGCACAGCAGAGCCAGGCTACGCAAAGTTCAGCTCCTGGTGGAAAACAGCGAGAGACGGAGGAGCGCAGAATAACCTCTAGCCCAAATTAGAGCAGCTACTGGGCTGCTGTCCCTCAATTAAGACACACCTCAAGAGCTGCTCAGCCTTTCCAGGCTTGCCAGAGCGCTGCCCGTTCGGGCTGTGCCCCCTCCGACCCGTGGCGTGCTGCCCGCGGGCAGGCAGGCGGGCAGGCAGGGGAGGGAGGCAGGTGCCGCGGCACCGACGGCGCTGGCTTGGTGCCACGGGGGATTCCCCTTCCGCGGGGCAATCCTCAGCTGCTCCTTCTGGGCATCGCCCGGTGGAGGTGCTCAGGGATGAGGATCTAGCCACAGACAAAATTAAATGTAACAGGGAAGGGAAAATTCCAACGGCGTTGACATCCTCTTCCTCCCCTGAGGTACACAAGTAAAAAGCAAACCAGAATAAAGGCACTAACTGCAGGTGACAGCAGCAAAGTTTTTTGCCTTACTAAACCAACATGTGATTTTGGATTTTGATGCATCCCTTCAAAGCTTGACTATGAGATAAATAGATTTAACTCATTTGCAGTACATGTCTTAAACTAGTTAGCCAACAACCTTGCGCAGGCTCTGGTCATTACTGTATTGAGCAAAGAATCTGCAAAACCTGGGGCAGGGCGAAATGCTGTGCAAAAAATGGCCACGTAACACAAACCACTTCCCTTGAGGTACGAGCAAGACATCTACCAGCCAGAGTACTTGAGAATCGTATTAGCAGAGGCTGTGACTGACGGCTGGGAAGGGACTGGATGGGATTAATGCGCATACCTTGTAATTTTGAGCAGTGCTCCATTATCACCATTACGGACAGCAGGTACAAGCGCGGAGTCTCGCCACGGCTGAACGCCAGGCGCCCGTCAGGACTTCAAAGCAGTTGAGGTTGAAGCTTACAGGATTTCCCCAGGCGCACTCCCCACACCCGAACAAAGGCGTCCCTTCCACCAGCACGCTGCAACCGGCCCCTTCGATGCTGAACCATTCACAACTGCGGAACACAACAGCTTCCAGCGCAGCCTGGGTCAACGGCAACCCATTCCACTTCTAGCTCTTTTGCCTATTCCATACCCATTCAGCTGAGCTGGAACTCCAAATTCTTGCAACGAGATCACATGAAACAACATGCTGGACCTCAAAATTCATCTAGGGTTTCTCAAAATGACACAGCCCCATCAAACTTTCATATCTGAACTACTCTTCTGCATCTCTTTCTCGGAAACTGCCACCAACACTTTTCAACACTTCAGCAGAGGGTTTTAGAAGCCCAAAATTAAACATCCAGCATCATACCGATACAGTTTTGGTGCCTCTCATATTTGTCACTGCAAGCACCAATACGCATGGACGTGCACAGATCCCGACACTGCTGCCTTCGAACTACAATGCCACGGTTCTCGTGGTGGCATCTCTCTCTGTGGTTGTGAACTACACCCTAGCAAGTGGTTTCTATTTAATTTAGTTGGTCCAACAATCATGTGATGAAGAAACTTAGATTGACTCCGAATGAGGATGCAACCAAGGACTTGCATGAAAACATTTGCTTATGGACCAAGTGACAACATGGGCATCTCGGTGTACATCTGTCACAGTCCGGACTGGAGCATCTTGTTAAATCGCTGTCTCCAAGTTCACAGCGACGCAGTACAACGGCAGTTTAAAGCCACCTTTTAAGCTCCCCTCAAGCCGGGCTCTGTCGCTGTTAACTCCCACAAGGATGAGCACAGTTAGTGTCCTCTTTTCGACGGCCACTCCGCATCTATGGGGGACTCGGCATCATCCCTATGCCGGCAAAGGGAAAGCAGCAGGGGAGGAGACAGGAAATTTTTGCTGTTTTATTTGGTTGGTTGTTTTTCTGTGGGTTTTTTTTTTTGTTTTTTTTTTTTTTTAAATAAAATCAAAGCTGCTCTATGTTCAGAGACAGTTTCAGACTGCTTGCACAGCTCAGAAAAAAATCTGGCTCAACATCAATACACTTACTTTTTCTACCCTCTAATATTTTACATAGCATAGCTATAAACCTTGAGAGCAATACATATGGCTCCCACTAATTTTATGTCACTTCACTCTGTTCTGTGAGAAACTAAAGGTCCAAGTGAAATACGTAAGTGGCAGAAGGGAGGGCAAAAAGTTTTGGCAATTCTAACTATGTTTTACACTCATATCTAATTACGAGGCATCTCCAGTACTAAAAAAACTTCCAAAAAGAATAATCTAGGGTTGTCTTTCTCAAAAAACAGCCCCCCAACCAAGAAACCCCATGAGTCACATAAATACACTTTCACACATTTACAAGGGTGAGTATAGCCATATGCATAAGCAACACACTAATTAATTAATTGAGCACACACTTTAGGATCACGGAAAGCTGTTTCATTCAAAAGCATATAGCTAGTTTTCATTTTTGTTTCTACTGCCAGCAGCATAACTCCGTAAAAACTCCAAATATTTCACTGTTTCAAATAAGTAAATAGCTTGATCTTTGCATTAAATGCTTTCTAATATTCACATTAACATTGCTTGCTTCTCTCTTTTCTACAGACGGTATCACCTGCTGGCAGAGCACTTTGCTCTGCTCCTGGCTGGGGTGGGCGACTTAACACGGGTCACTTCAGCTCCACGTCTCAGTTTCTCTCCGTTTGAGAAACCGAGTGCCTGATCCCACAGCCAACGTGCTTTTCATTCACTGCCAGCTATTATTAAATAAACCAGCAGCAAAACGTAAGGTTGCACTGCACCTTTCATTTGAAAATTCTTCAGTTCAAAATTTTAAGCATTTAGCCGAACCGCTTAGTTTGTTCAGTTGCATGTACTCCAAATTGCCCTCAGCAACAAAGGACTGATGTAGAGACATACATAAAAAAGAAACACTGCATTTAAATGAAGACTAATTTTAAGAGCTGCATATTTAATACGGAAAGCAGTCTCTGAAGATGTCAGCTGCTACAGAATGCATTGGCAAATCATACTTGCAAAAGATAAGCTTTTCCTAGCTTTTTTTATGGCTTTGAAGGTAAAGCGTTCAATAGACCAAGTCGATGGGCAAATGAATGCTTCAATAGAGAGCACAACTTTTACACAGTGGTGGAAAGGCAAACCACTGAGGCTTTTTTTTTTTTTTTTAAATATCTCAAAGGTGATGCTTACATATCCAAGGGCTTCAGGACTGATTTTAGCAACCTAGTAAAAAAATACAGACTATGTATTTACTAGCTATTTTGTCTGAAGGACAGCAGAGGAAGAGAGGAGGCAGGAAAAAATTATATGCAGAACAAGCCCAGTAGTGTCACATAAATAGCTGAGAAGTGTCCATCACTCCAAAGCACAACAAAAACATCACTGCTCTCTATTCCCACTTGAGACTTGTACCTCGCTGCAGACACAGAGGGTTTGGTTCATCGAGCCGAGCTGTTTGTCAATCTAGACTGCTGAAAGCCATCACGCCCTCCGCAAATGGCAAGGCTTGCCTCGGCGGGTGGCAAGGAGAGGACCTCCCTTCCTCCTTTCCTCCCTTCACGGCACCCCGGGCGAGCCCTGCTCCCTCCCAGCCAGGGCACTGGGATCCCAGTAGGTGCCTGGGATTCTGGTGTGCAAACCAGACCTACTCCCACAACCTTCCCTTGCTTTTAATTCATTCCAAAAACGTTCAAGACATAGCACCCATGTGTGTTTCACAAGTTCAGTTCTTCATTTTCAGGCTTCTCCAACCTACCAAGGAGGAGGATGGGGAGAGTAATCCATAGAATGAATGAAATGGGAAGAATCAGTCAACATCAGCCTTACGGGATGTAAGTATTTGAGAAAACAGCCACTGATACTTGTGCCACCATTCAATGTATATTTAAAGATGCATCACTGACGTAGATAACGTGGTCTTTTAAATATAGCAAAAGATAAAATATTTTAAAAGTCCTAAATCCCTGCACGTGACTCACGGTACCTTGAAACACTCAGAGGAGTTTTTGGTGCAAATTTAGAGCAGAACAGCAGAAAGGTATATCCTATTTATTGATATACAACACACAAATCCTTCTGCAAGGATGGATTATAATAGCTAATCTTAACATGAGAAGGTTTGCACCAATAAGCTCCCCCCCGCCCCATGTCAACAACTTGTTTTATTTGGTGGGCAGGACGAGAGCCCGATTTCTTCAGAGATGCAGTTCTTGAGGGACTACAACACAATTACATCATCTAAACCTCAGCTGTTTCTCGTAACACATTTTTATCAAACCAGCATTTGGACACAAACCTGAACCATACAGAAAGTTCTGTGACTGTCCTTTACATATTGCTGGTCAAAAGGGAATTCTCAAAGTTGAGGGTTAAAAAGCTAAAACTCTAACATTGCTACTTGCTGGCAGCATCGCAGAGAAATGGGAAAACTAGGCAACCAGTTTTAGAGCCATATACTAGTGTTTTTCAATTCTGTGTTCACATGTGTTCATGAGTGTGCTTAAAACTTGGTCCAGATCCAGAGAAGATAATTTGCCAAATACTTCCCTGGTCAGCCCAGTAGTCAGCTGTGAAACCGGTCAAAATTTCAGTGAGAGCAACTCACACATCACGCCCTTCTCCAGCCTGATTTCTGCGGGCTGCAGTCCCTCCAAGAGGGCCATCCACCCAACGGGATACTCATTTTAGAAGTTTCTGTCTGGAAATTCAGAGTCATGAAAACCAGCTGTTATACAAGCTTGGGAAGTTTGCAAAAAAGACAGCTATTTCTTTGTACGTTTACACCCTGCTGTCAGCTACCTAAGTGGTTAAGTGATACAAGTCTGCAAAAATCCATGATAATCTGCAGGCGCCGCGCAGAGTTTGTACGTGCTGATCTCATGCCGCCCTAGACACGACCGTATCCCACTTTGTTTCAAACCTAGAGTACGTCCCCTTCCCATTTTGAGGTAGTTCAGCCTACGGTAAGTAAAAAAGTATGTATCTGCACCCATACACAAGAGCAAAATATTTTTTTAAAAAAAACTCTTTACTGTTCTTACAGCCACCACAACAAGGAACTAGCTTGGGGAAAAAGAGCCTTTTTATTTATATTCTTCATCTGAAAGAACACGTATAGACGTTTGAACTGTATTTCCCTTCAGTGTTAAAATCTACAGACAAGCAGAGAGAAATCAGACTGTCGAATAAGTTTTGAAGTGCAACAGAGAGTCAGAAGAACTGTAAGAAATAATGTTACACTCGGTATTTTATCACTGTCACAGTTGTGAGCTGATAAAGCACGAAATCCTCAGACAAAATGAAGCGGGGTGGTAGTGCTAAACCAGAGAAGATGAGTTTTGTGCATAATTTCAAAAACCTACCTCTGTGTAAGACAGCTGAGAAGAGCCTTATTATCGAGTTTGTTTCCCAGCCTTTGCATTTTACTAATGAGTTTATGATAGGAATGAACACGAATGCTCGCAAACGTGCCCAGGTGAGCACCCCATCTGCGAGGTCAGTAGTTACACCACTACCAGCTGATGGTTCTGAAGGAAACCCATGTAAAATAACTGCACCTGGCTCATTTCTAGCAGGCAGTTAATTATAATAGAAAACTACTTTGATAAGATGAGCAAAGCGACAAAGGCTGCAGTAAGTGCGCTACCGTAAGTGACCATTAAATGTAATGAGCTAAAAAGTTAAAATATCTGGGCAGAAAGTAGATGCGCAAGCTCAACTCTGCCTGTACAACACAGAGAAAAAACAAATTTCAAGCACCAAAACCCCAGACCTCTCACCAACACTGAATTCATACAAAAGTGGAGGGAGAATTAAGAAAAACTAAAGAACAAAAAAGAGACTGAGGAAGAAACGGAATAAATAGTTCCCAGACAACCCCCTTCAGGACATTTATATGATGTTTTATTAGTCAACGTGTAACCTTACAGGTTTATGTGACTTAACAGCTCAAAGTAGCTGCACAGCAGCACCCAGTATTCTACACAAGAACCGTATTACCCAGATCAAACTACAAAGTATTAATATAGGTTAAGAAAGAACCACAACACCTTATCAACATCCTCTTATCTAACTTTGATTTACAAAAAGTTTTGATCCCGCGCATTCTGCTAGCGGGATACGTTAAATGTAAGCTGTACCGCAAAACTTAAGCACGTATAGGGCAGAAGCT